GTAATGCGCTTTTCTTCATCAGGGACATGTCCGATGTGCTCGATTGTATTGATCTTGCCCGCGGTCTGCACCAATTCTCCTGGATTCAGCTCGCCGATAGCTACGAGCCTTTACCTGCGCTCTCTCATTTTGCTATTGAATGTCATAGTTTGACTTGCACGATGCCAGAAGGACAAATGCGTTGTGTCACCCCCCGAGGTGCTGTCCCCGAGCTCGCTGTGATTGCAGAGAGAATACAGGGAGATATGCTCCCTGAAGCTGATCAATGCAGCTCGCTATTTTGGGGGGCGCTGACTCATCTCTCTTTACTTATCCAATTATTTCGTCCAGGGTGGGCAGAGCTCCCGCCAAGTAATGGTGTCCTTGATTTAGAAGCGACCGGTTCGTTTCATAGGCTCTGGTCTGCGCTTAGTTTTCTCTTCGGAATACAGAGTTCACGGTATGCTGATACTCAATCCTACTCCGCTGATTCAAACCAGACCGTGTCCAGGGACCACCCAGCTCAAAACACGCTGACAGCTGCGATCTCTGACGAATACCAGTTTGGCCACGGATTTTTCATGGCCGGTGCTGCCTTAATTCAGCTCCTAGGGCAAAAGGCCCAGTTTTGTGCACTCGATTTTTCTACCCACGTTCTGCGTGTAGAAGCGTATGAAAAAGCTGCAGCCACGCGCGCTGAAGGAGTAGGTCTTGCTGATGTCACCTTGCGCGAAGAGGCTGGCAGTTTCGTTTTGCTAAAAGCGAGGCACTCACAATTGTATTCAATTGCATTTTGCATACTAGATACGCACACACAACCTCAACAGCGCCGATCGACTGTATTGTATTTTCACCCTCCCGACAATTATGATAAGTGAATGAATCAGATCGTGGCTTCCACGATATGCCGGCCAAGTGCGCCGTCTATTTCGATTGGTCCCATTTATCTCGCCGATACCAATTTTTAAACCAGCCCCGCGCACTCAGATCCCGCGTTGAATGCCATGGACTTTTAAAGCTGGGGCTTTGTTCTTCTACACGTTCCGGTTCTGTGAATATCTCGCCACGCGATCACCTTAAAGCTTCGAGGTCGCCAAGGGATGCGAAAATACAT